CTAAATTTTAGTCAAAAGGTGAAAGGTTCAATTCCTGACAGAGGGCCTATAGTTGAATTTTTTGCAACTGCTCTTGGTTAGGTCTAACAAATGTGTAAAATTTACACTCAAAATCTCCATCTAGAAAACCCTTCAACAATCGAGTGAGATGCCCAAAACACTGACATTTATCCAATTAAGAGGAGATTGTTTTGTATGTTACGTAACACGCGCTCAAAACTAATGCGTATAATATATCACTTGAGGTTATGACTAAATTCAAAATTTTTATTTTTCGATACGTTTCTCAATCGGCAAACAAACTTAAAAAGTATATTTAGTGCTTTATCTGTAAAATAATGCTAAAACAAAGATATTTTAGGTGGTACGCCAAAGAGAAAATGATGTCTGAAGTTCAGTAAGTTTTGCTGATATGGCTGTAAATATGGCGTCAATTTTAAAGCATCGTTGATAATTTTATTTTAATTGACAATTTTTAACTATTATTTTATGTTTCTCAACCGGCAGATGCATTTAAAAAGGTAGCTAACTGTATAAACTAGAGAATAAAGCTAAAACAAAGAAATACCTCTTAAACCTTACCTCGACAATAATGTAAAAGTCTTCGCCCTGTTCACCCTGTATAACAACATACTCTCCATCTTCGAACGAGACAGGCTCGAGAGCATCAGCAACAGTAAGTCTCTCCCACTTATCCAGGGATTCAAGAATAGATACTTTCTCCAAGAAACGTTCATATAACTCTCTCGTGCGTATCTGACTAAGCATAATGATTCTGCGGTAGCTAACGCGATCAATCGCCCATAACTTTAAGTCTGTTTTTGCCTGAAAATTATAGAGAGATAGTAATAAAGAAACTATACACATTCAAAATTCAACTGCGTACATTTTACATGATCTAATAAATCCCTTGTACAGTAGTTAATACATATATGCCCAGGGTATATCAGAAGTTTCTCAGAGACACCCTTATCTATCACGAATGTCACCGAACTGTGGAATCGCATCAAAGATTCGTATCACTGCCACTCCCACAAACGTCTACGACTGCACCTACATATTTTGCATGTTTAGAATTCTAATTTTGAACAGCCAATCAGGTTCTTGGTAACAATTACAATTAAACGTCGATTGGATGTTTAAATTAAATTAGAATTATGCTTATGCCAAAATATGGCAAAATTGCGGTCACTATAATCTGATTTCTGGTACGGACTTTCTCCAAGTATGGCGAGTGAGCGAGGAGACGCGTAGCGCCACCAAGCAAGCTGCAGCAGGGGTCTGGGGCTACTATTATTATTGGTGTGCTGAGTGGTTATATTTACTACCTTAAAAAATAAGCAGAAACTCGACGTTTCGAGCGAAGCCCCTCGGCTACTAACTCTTGACGAAGGGCCTTCGCTCGTAACGTCGAGTTTCTGCTTATTTTTTAAGGTAGTAATATAACCACTCAGCACAGCATTTTCACATTGGTACTACCAACACTGGTACAGACAGTTTTAGTATATTATTATTGGAACTACCTACACTGGCATAGACAGTTAAAAAAGTCATAACTGCCAATTTGGGAACCTTACATGCAATATTTCAAGCCCATGCAGTAGCTGTTGCATTTTTTAGTAGTTGTGTCATCTATATGGACAGGAAATCTTATGAGAATTCCAGACTACTGTATTCTTATAGGAATTCCTACAGTATAAGAACTCTTTTATGGCAAATTATATTCCTATTGAAATTTCTAAAAGAATCTGAAATTCGGATTCCTATAGGAATTCCCAAAGCAATTTTTTGTAAGGAATATATATATACAAGTTTGCAGTTTGTATTCCTTGCTACCTACATTTTACCATCCAACATTCGACATTTCTTTTCGAATGATCTATGTAAACATTTAAAGTTCAAACCCTTTGTTATAGGAAGTTAATAAAAAAGCTTTTACAATGTAATTATCTGGACAATGGCCTTTGAATGAAAGCTCATATATGTTAAGTGTTTCTGAATTTCGATCTTTTTCAGGAAGTTCACAGACACTCATATGCAACCTGCTGTAATTACAGTTCTAATTGCAATTACTGCCAGAACCATTTAAGACTGACTATATACATACCTTTATAGTAGCTGCTCTAGGGGTACCATAGATCAAAGCTAATTCTCCAAATGCCCCTCCTTCCCCAATAACTGACACTAAATGTTCATTCACATAGACCTTAAAGAATTAAAGGAACAGTACATTACTGACACATCAACTATGACACTTACTAGGTTTAGTTGAAAGCATCCATCATGGGGTTTCAACCTCTCACTCAAATGTTATGTACATATAGTAGAACCCTGCTAACTTGAGCTGCCAAGGAAAGAAAAAAATTGTTCGAGTTACTGTATCAGGGGATTGGGTTAACAGAAATGAATCAATTATGTTGGATTTTATTTATTACAATTCCCGAAAGTGTATTAAATCACCGTTGTTCTGTTTTTCGGTCGAGAAAACTGTTCATGGTTTTTACAGCTTACCTAGATCACTGGCCCACATAAAAATGGGCCGCCACCCTAGCTTGTCTACAGACGTTTTGATGAAATCTTTAGTTTTACAGTACAGACTATAAAATTGGCGACAATGTTTATTGTTTATACTGTATTACCATTGTGTTTCCTCCCAGATTAAAAGTGTTGCAATAATAAATATACGCAGTGGTCTAACTTGACTGTTCATTATAAAAATATCCAAGGTACGTTTTACAGTCTATAGACTATATTAGTAAAACACATGACATTGTTATTGAATATTGCATCTATTGAGTATTGACTGATTTTATATATCGGCATCGAGTACAGTATATCGTCATCGTCTTTGCTTTTCGACTTTATATATTGCATCGATTACTTAGCTGTGACATATGTATCTCAGGTTCCATTCTAAATTGTATGGGTATAACAATAGCTAAATTTTCCCCTGGACTGCTCAAGAACGGGCAATATTCCCAATGTGACACCTCTCATATGTCGGGCATCACACAACACTGTCCAGTGTCGTTAATTTGAGGGAAGTGTGAACGCCTGAGCAGGCGTCTTGTTATGTAAATAAGTCGTTTTATTATTTGTCACAACCTTAGCCTGCGTAGCGGCTGTCAGAGAAGGGACAACCTGCACGAAACCCCATGCTAAACCGTATTTACTCGTTCTCTCAGAGGACGAAAAATCTGATTGGTTCAAAATGAAAAAATATGCTAATTTATGCTAAAATTCATACAAACACGGCGGATGTATTATTATTGAGAGGCGTTTCTTTGAGTTTTGCATTCAAAAGAGCTTAAAGGCTACAATTTACGGTTGAACAATAAAGGTATTTACGAACTTGGTTCACGAAGCTCTAGAGATATTGACTGTGGTGTCTTGGTTGGATTGCTGTCTGTTAGCAGCGCCTCTTTCACAACTCACGAGCGTGTTCGTTTTCATAAATTCATCGACGACAAATAGATTTTTTCTTCATGATTTTGTAGCTAATAATTTTGTGCCAGGAGAGAATTGCTATAAATGCTTATGTCTTATGAACAGGACTTGCTCTCTGTGAAGTGATGGATTTAAACACCTTTAATATTCTCTTATCAGCATCGCTCGAAACTTTAACATTTAATACATCACGGTTGACCGCTGTCGAAACTATAAATTCTATTTGTACGTGTGCAAGAAAGCTACAAAATATCGTAGATACGGACTGCAAACTACTTGTGACAACAATGGAGATTGCCCTAGGCCTAGCGCTATTCCCACAGACTTCAATTTTCTTTAGCCGCCATCCGTATATTACAGTATTTCGTTTTGAAATTTGCGAACATACAGCAATCTATATTTATATTTCATTTTGATAAGTAAATTTGCAAACGTAAACAATCTGTGTGATTGGCCAATTTTGACATCTGTTTAAAGTGGGCGTAGCCCGCAGGCTAAGTGGGCAGAAATGGCAAAGCAGGGGGTTTCGTGCAGGCTCTCCTTTCTCTGAGCCACTATGCAGGCTATCACAACCTAAGTAAAGCAATACCTATCATCTAGATCAGTAATGATCAGTGCAATTTGTTTATGTTTGTATATATTATTTACCGTACCAACATTTTGAGGTTTGTCGTTCCACGTCTCAAAAATACAGTTCAAGTTATAACCATGATGGTAAATTTGAAAAAGAAATGTGTTTGAGTTTGTAGTATATAATTTATGCATATAAAGTATCATGTCAACTAATTTTTGGGCCAGAGTTTATTTTGTCAGTTACAGTGTATATGCTGTCAGGGCAATCAGTGTCATGTTGGTGCACTTTACCTCAACTTCGCCACTGTCAATGATGTAGAAATTATCACCTTCCTCTCCTAAAATTCAAAACATTCATATTCACAAAAAAACTGCATGCATACAGGGTTATCAATAGAATATACAGTACAAGGCATTTTGAAAGAAGTAGACCTTGGCTATGTGGTACCGAAGGTACCATTCCCCTGTGGAGGGCCCCAAGGGCGTCTCCACAGGAAGATTTTGAAATTTAGATACTCTAAAATCTCACTCCCAGATATTTTCAAGAGCAGTTTTGGAGACTGTTTCATATATCCAAATATTTAACAAATAATATCGTTAAAATTTATGTTATAAAAGCAAAAACATTTCCCTTGATATTTCTGTGGTAAGGAGGAAAGATTTTGGTTTATAATTTTGATAAATGACCGGCGATTGTCTAGGTTATAGATGGCAAAAATCATCGGGTGCTGGCTTATATTGGGAACACTGTGCATGGCAATTCACCATAATGATTGTCTTTGTGTACTACTACAGTACAATACTTAAGGTTAGAATTTAACTAAATACATATACATATACAATACTATGCAATCATATGTTACCCTGTTGTATGACTATTTCAGCAACATTGTGTTTCACCAAGAACATGGCATCGAAAATGTCACTGTAAATGAAAAAGACATACTAGTAAGTTATCATTTTAGACAAACTGTCATTTGAGACATATGTTTACAATACTAGTTTAATAATTAATTTCAACCACTAAGCTGTGCAATGCACCCAGACAATTGAGCCTCACATTGTTATTTTACTCTGCCCAATGCCAGATGATTTTACTCGATCGTCAAGGGGGAATCCTGCCTTGTGCATTAATGGGCTAACTAAACTATCTCTCAATGTGTCTTGTTAACTCATTAAGCTACAATGCACCTAAATGTGCCTGATTTTATTATTTTACTCTGTCCAATGCCAGACAATTTTACTTATTTAATGAATTTATTGAGCAATCTACATATGTACTATATCAGGTAGAAAGATAAATACCTGACAAACAAAAGACAAAACACATGTCACAAATCACAAATTAGTAGATATACACTCAAATGGAAAAGCACAAAAGGGACAGTAGAACTCCCATACAAGGTGCTCCCCATAATTAGATATAGTTAATTAAATATACACACACATATATATTACTTGTGGTATTAACTCATGAAGGGGAGAGTCTAGCTGTTCATTAATCTTGACAATTTTGCATGTTCTCGTCATATGCGGACTGGGGGCTTCACTTATTTGGGGTGGGGCTTCAGCCTTCGTCACAATTGGCCTATTTTGCTCATACAAAAATTGGCAATTGCCGAGTGCCTAGGCAAATTACAAGAGGCTAGGGCTTATTTCTTGTGAAAATCAGATACTGGAAATATACATGTTGTTGCCATGATATCCATAATACAATAATTTTCAGCCGCAAGCTACTTCCGCAAGCAAATCTACTTTCAATCAGGTTGGGATTTGCCGATCACCAACCTGAATTGGGTCATTCCAGAAAACATCCGGATCCCCCCCCCCCACAGTTAACCCCATCCCCTACCCCCCTTCAGATATTCTAGCACAGTTTACTAATGCCAGAACCATATAATCTCCCCATCCAACACTGAACGGTAGAAACTTCCTCCATGGGAGGGGGGGTGGGGGGAGTGTGGACCTTGTCTGGAAATATGATCCATCCCAAGGCTTGGACATATAGCTTTCAACCCTGAACTTATTGTAGCTGACTGACTGTTTATGCAAATCATTTGCCACCTATTTTAGCCGTGACTTATATTTGCTCATATAATAAGGTGATCATGCTGATGATGTTGTTTTTCCAGCATAAGATACCAAGAAGTGGTTTAGGCCTTCAAGGTGATGTACCGACTATTAGGTCACTTTCAGAGATGTTTGACTAAAACTAACATGAACTTTTTTGCCACCGTAAATTCGAGTGTTTTGCCGATGTGAAATAAAAAATGAAATTTTGAATTTCAAAGGCTGGTTCGGCAAGTTTTGATTAGGTTTGACATGGCTCAAAATATGGCAAGTCATGTTATACAAAGCGACACAGGTTTGACAGGGGTTTGCCATGCTTTCCATGCAATGAACATGATGCATATTTTTTTAACATACATAATTATCATGATTATGGTATATTAGCAATTTAACACCGAAATTTCTGATAGTGTACTTGTATTTTGACTCAGTACAATAAAGTTCAATGTCTAAATCAGTTGCCGAACGTGTGTCATATTTAAGTTGACTAGGTAGTTTACCATCTAAACTGTGACATAAGTCGTGTTTACACTACATGCCTTGGCCAAGGTAAATGTGACGTGTTTACACCATTACACTATTTTTTTGAGACTGGCTCACTTTGGCCTAGAATTTTGTAATTAATTTAGTGTATTTTTATGTGCTGTGACGTTGTCCGCTAATCTCTCACTGTGGACATACATTGCCATGAAAATAAGGCCCAGGTCAGGGCCGAAAGAGTTTACATTTCCACAAGCCTCTGGAGGCCACCGGTTGTAGTGGGCCCAGATTTCCTGGCCTAGGTCAGGCCAAGGCTAGGCCAAAGTCTGTTTACATTGTTAAAATATAGGCCAAGGCCAGGCCAAGGCTGGTAGTGTAAACACGACTATAGTCACTTTGTAAACGAGAAAAATTTCAAACCACAACCTCGGCTATTACAACATTTCGCCCCAGGGAGAAATTTTTGCTATGTATTAAAAATCGAGATAAAAATTATTACATCCCACTTACATCTTAAAAACCTACAACTAAATTCCCAACTGGTAATTGGCCCCAGCATCCTGCCATATTATTATATAAGGAATAAAAACTATTCTGAACTGAACAACATGTGTTCTCATGACAAGAACTAATGAGCCTGAGAATACTGCTATTAAAAATTAATATTTGAGGTGAAGAAGAAGCACAGCGATCATTAGGCAATAACAGCCTGTTATTTTGTGTTCGCCCCGTATTAATCGTCTCCGATCAAACATTTGGTTTACAGCAACATGATAACCCCCCACTGATGTACAACAATCTATCAGAACAAAACATATTGCCCATTGAATTGCTCTTTAATATTTTAGCTTGGTAAAAGGCCTACCTCCGTTCGGTTTCGTCGAGATGGGAGAAAAGGATATTTTTCGCTATTGCTTTCGATAAGGCGGCCATCGTTTTGTAATCTTTCGGGACGACCTAAAAACGTCAATTCGAATCATTACGAAAACATTACATGCGGCATTTTCAATGAGCTGTAAAATTGCGTAAAATTGTAACCGGTGGAGAATATACTATTGTACGTTTTGTACTATTTCACCTTTTTAACATAGGAGGTAGCTTCTGCCTCTGAAATAACGCTTGCGCTAACACCGCCACGACGCTTCATACGCAAAGGTTGCTTTGGACGTGTATGTTCTTCGCCGAATCGTTCCTCGGCTTCACCGGCTTCTCCTCTCGCATCATCATCCCCAGAGTGCCTCTCCGTCTCCTAACGATGCATTAAAAACAAGAGTAAAGCGATCGATACACGCCAACGCAAACAAGAAGCCTTGAAGTGTAAGCGAATGATGGAGCAAGCAAGATAAACAACGTACCTTCTCGAGCTTTTCGAAATATTCGCGAAGGAATTTGTACGGATTCGGCGGTTTCGACATACACAATTGAAAGATACATTCTTTTAATATTGGCTGAATGTTGTGACTGTCTACATATTCCTCGCACTGCCTCACGGCTTCGCTATCACCGTCTTGTTCAGGTCTGGACGCCATCTTGTCAACAGCTGCACAACGCTGGCAGCAGCATCCGAAGGGTGAGCGGCGTGAGCCACCCGGCATGTGACGTCACATTCGGTATGAATATGTAAGCCTATATGGATATTTCCAGAGACCTTTTCACAGAATTGTATCGAAAACCATCCTCTTTTTGAATAAAAAGAATTCTAAATCCAATTTCCCAGCAATTTTTTTAACCAAATTCCGTTTTCAACTGTAAACTTCAAGAATGTCCCCGAGCAGGTGTTTCACCGGGGTGTTGTTCAAGAGTTTTTGTACATGGAATGATGGAATTTTATGCATCTGCATTTGCATTTGCAGACCTAACCAGGAGCAGTTGCGATAAATGCAATATAGGTACCTTTCCGGTAATTACGTCACGACTAACGCTGTTTTCAACTTAGGACCACCTTAAATGGAATGGATTTGAAGTTTCACGAGCTATGGTCGGCAAAGGAGCAGAACATACTTCTTCAACACATGCATAAAAAAGAATTTTGGATTTAGACCAATAAATGTGGAAATAAGCTTAAACGGGACCATATCACCATAGCCCGTGAGAAACAAACTTGAAATCTATTCATTTAAGGTGGTCCTAAGTTGAAAACAGTGTAGTTGTGACGTAATTACCGGAAAGGTCTATCCATGTGCACGGGAGGTGGGTGGACAGTGCTTTTCACGCAATTTGATTGGTTGCCCAGCTCCGGATATTCTTGCCAGCTGCTAGCTACTCACCTCCGGACAAAAACAAAATGGCGTTCTGCTTCGTTCCCGGTTTATACAGACGAAACAGACGAGCAATTTGTGTACTAGTAGTACACAAATAAAACTAAATGGTCAAAGGAGTAAAGCCTATAACCCCTTAACTAACTTAGTTTCGGGAATAAAATTGGATTAGTTGTTTTATTTGACACTGTCAGTGGCGTAACTACTATGGGCTCAGACCGGGAGAACCCGGGGGCCCCAACCCCAAAGGGGGCCCCCCTGGCTTAGGCGATAGAGCAAAAACATTGGCCAGGGCCTCTGATATGTTACAATGTCGTTTTCTGACCATCAGAATTCTGTAAATTCTCTCCCAAAGTCCAGGAAATGGTATTTCAGAGTCTAGATTCAAAAATTTTCCGGATGAGCATGCCCTGAACCCCCTAGAAAACTTGTGCATATACGGCGCTCGACTCGTGCCTTTGGCACTTCTACTAGGGGGCCTTCGAAAATTTTGAACCGGGGGCCCCCTTCTTTAACGTTACGCCACTGGACACTGTCACTTATTTATGACAAAGACAATAGTTACGCGAAATTTCTCTCCAATGCTATTGATTGCTGAGAATGTTAAAATACGTTTGCCATTATATACAAATTTCATTGTTAGCTGCAGGGTTTATTTTAAGAAAAATCTAGAACTGCACATATAGGGATGTTACGAAGGCAACGACTGCGGGCTCGAAGGATTTTTTACCTGCATATAGGTGACAGAATAACGGTGTGGTTGGGTGGGAGAATTGGAGAAAGGCCAGACAAACTCGATTTTGGCTGCGGGAGCTAGGGGTTGTTCCCCCAAAACAATTTGAATCTAGAGGCTCTTTAGTTCTTGCAAACATTTGTTTTATCCAACCACTCACAAAAACTGTTTCAAAACATGTAACTGGAAATCATGGATATTCAATATATAACAACCTTAAATTTGCATTTGAGGCAGCAAAGAATATTATAGGTTCTCCCACTCTAATCTCTTTTGGGGAGCTTTGCTCGCCCCAATTTTACCTTCTTTTCCATTACCCCAGCAAGTAAGTGATTTGTGAGGAAAATAGGAGGGTCTGGAGTCCTCCCCCAGAAAACGTTTATATTTTTGATGCTCAATTAATGACAGCATTTCTGGAATTTTCTGGAGCATCCACAAGGGTAACGAGCAAATGAGAAGACTGTTTTAATTAATATTATTTTTGTTAGTTTGGTGACTGCCCATTGGTGTTTTAAGAACTGCACAAATGGGTTTAGAACTGCACATTTTGTGGATTTCTTTTATTGACATTTTATAAACTGTTTACATTTATTTATACAAATGCCTTTCTTATATACCATTCTTATAAACATTTACAGTAAATACTACATTAAGTACACATTAAATATATAAATATCGATTCTTATTCGTAACACTATATTCAAAAGCAAAATGGTATATGCAGATAAATACTGAATACCTAGTTAAATATTAAATTAATTCTGCATGATCCGCTGGTAGTGAATTTTAACATCCTGGTTGATATCGGTTAATAATATAAACAAATAGGTACACGTTTTATCATAATTAATTTTGGAAACTTGTTCTCTGACCAAAATATATTTCGGTTAGGATTTTTGGGAAGCTATACGAGGATTTTTGAAACAAACACCCTCTTTTCTCTAATAATTTTTCCGAAAGGCGAAAGCCGATGGTAATCAATAGATATTCTAGTCAGAGAACGTTTTTTCAAAACTGATTATGTCTATATCTGGCCGTGTTTCTTTCATACATTAACACGTTTTGTCGACTAAAGTATTTTATCACCGGGAGGATAATTGGGATCCATCAAAGCGAATTGTTTCACCAAATCTGACGTGGTGGGTTTGCTACCATGACTCAAGCACGAAACCATGATGTCATGTAGCTAAATTTAAAAATAGAGACATTTTATAATACATAAATTACGGGAACCACTGAGTATTTTGATAAAATACAAAACAATAGATACTCCGAAAATTGAAAGCATTTTGAAAAGCTTTATTTCGACGTTTCGACTAAACTATAGTCATCATCAGGAAATGAATGATGATGATATTACATATGTACAAGTTTATATAGTGAAGTTTAACAAGATACGATTAGTTAAATATTAATAGGTCTTTAGAGGCTTTAGTTCCATGGTTTAGGGACAGTTTCATTCTATTAATAGCAATAGATTCTTGATAAAGTATCAACGACCAGTGATTGGATAGATAGACCTATTAATATTTAACTAATCGTATCTTGTTACTTCACTATATATACTTGTACAAATGTAATATCATCATCATTCATTTCCTGATGCAGATGACTATAGTTTAGTCGAAACGTCGGAGTATCTATTGTTTTGTATTTTATAATACATGTTACAGTTGTTACTTTTCCAGTTAACAGTTAATTTAACGTTCAACTTAAGTTTACATGGTACTATGAAAGTATGAAAATAATAGTTTACAAACATGCTATTCATTAAATTCTTTGAATTAAAATTTCGCGATAGTCCTGTTAGTCATTACGTAAGCATGACGTTCAAGGAAGCGATGCTGTGCAGGTTTCCTCATGAATTATTAATAGGCTCGAGACTTCTATTTAGAAAGTGTTTGGCACAAACTAGAAAGTCGATTCAATCGACTAGATGACTCAGGGTGTCTTGTGTTCTTAGTTAGAAATTATGGAGTCAACGCTATACAAACTTACCTCCGAGAATTTTTCCAATGTTGGGCAAACGTCAAGTAATATTTTTATCATGTTTCCAAATGATATTACATTTACTTCAAGTTCTTCTAGATTTTCTTTACCAAGTCCATTATCAGTTTCTTTGTCCTCAGATGAAGTTAAAAATTTGGCTGCATGAAATCCTCCAAGTACGGTGCTTTCCACTGCAAACTAAAGAAAAACGAAAGTGATGCATACTTGTGGTTCAAAATGTTGTTTTAAATTCTCACAATATATAAATATATATTGTGAAATCATGAATATTAATTACTAAGCTTAGCCAATGACCTGCCAACATATACCCCTCTTCGGAAAAGAAAGCTGGATTTCACAAATTTAAGCTTTATCGTAACTAATGCTTTTCAACATAAGAATTGTAGGAGGAGTGAGCCGGGTAGCCTGCTGTTTTTGCAACGATATGTAGATCTCCGGCGACAAACCCCCATGTTACTGAAATCAGACTAAGGGACCGGTCATACAGTAAAAGGGGCGGTGGGCTGGGAAAATCATATATTTGGTGTTTGCACTTTTGGTAGCCCACCCCTTAATAGCTGCACGAAAATTTGTAGCCCACCCTTAAATTGGTGCTGAAAAATTATGACCCACCCCTTTTCCAATTTTTCCGGAAAAAAATTTTCCGGACAATAACCTCCCCCCCCCCGTCGACAACTTTTTTAGGTAAAAAAATTTTCCGGACGAGTACGTTGCAATTGCTTTCCGAGGACTTTATCTTAATTTTTCATACCAAATTTCGGTACTTAGCCCAATAAACAGATATCTTGTTCTTTGCGCGGAAATTTTTAACACAAAAAAATGACTGGGGCCCAATCTTCTGCATATTTTTACATGGCCCACCCTTATGATTGCCCTTAACTTTCGATGACCCACCCCTTCAACCGTGCTCAAAAATAGTGACCCACCCCCCTATTTTTCCAAGCCCACCCCCCATTTTACTTTATGACCGGTCCTTAAGACCCACATTTGTAATCCTGGGTGAAGTTTTTTATAGCACATATTTTCTCGCATTTCCTGATCAAAACTTCACAATTTTAATGAGCGCGATCACTCACAAAAGCTTTCCGCATAAATAAAAGAACATTACTATCATGACGTGGACAACTGTCAAATTGCTTGGATCGGATAACTCCAAACGTTTTCAACAGCACGTTCTAGTGAAGTTTGACCTGCACCGAAATGTAATCTTATTGAAAAATGCCTTTAAAGATTCTTGATCTATCCAGTAAAATACTACAATAGAAGTCATTCAAAGCTAAAAATATGAAATATACCATTGTCCTTACTTGAGAAGATTCAACAAGAATGATATTTTCGGGAAGAATAGCGTGATGAGCAATTTGTTTTGAGGAAAGATAATCAATTGCTTCAACAAGATCGTTTAATATATAGTAAACACTCTCTTCAGTAATCTCATGGTTGTTCATCTTAAGGAATCCACCCAATGTTTGCTTCGAAGGCAATTCATAACAGATCAAACTAGAAATCAAAACAGAATACAAAATTAATGTGTTATAAGATAGACGACTTATTTTCAGGTTTAATCATA